AGCCTTCAATCCCAAACCCCTAAACCCTAAAAGCCCTAAGCCCTTAAAGATTGAACGTACGAGGCGCGTCAACAACGGAGCAGAAGAAGCGCACTTCGGATCAACGGGTTTGGGGGTTCAGGGCTTTTGGAGTTTAGAGCATTTAGGTATTTGAGATCTTTGAGTTCAGAGTTTGCAAGGGTTTAGGGTTCAGGCTTCTGGGGTTTTGGGCTTTAGCGCTTCAGGCTTTGAGGCATCCTGGGTTTCGGTTTAGGGTTTAGAATGATTTTGAGCTTCAGGGCGCAGGGTTTACTTAGGGTTACGGTTTGATGTAGGTTGGGCTGCCGGGGCTTGGGTTCAAGGATTTGGCGGCGTAGTTTTCGGTATCAAGGTATACTACGATTTGCTTAAGAACCCCCCCCCAAAAAATTAAAAACAATAATCCCTATATTACCCCCATAAGGAATATATTTTTTATTTTTTGGTGGTTCTTAAGCAAATAGTAGTATTTGAACAGCAAGGGATGGAGGCTTCAGGGGTATCGGTCGGAGGGGATTACTCGGAGGGTTGGGGGACTTAGTATCTAGTACCTAGGCATTCTAGAGACTTATAAGTACCACGACCCACTTAGGATGCCGTTTAGGGCACTTCTTACTCTACTTATTACCTACTTACTCACTCCCCCAACCCTCCAAGTAGAGACGGGAAAGTCGCTTGGGTCTTGGTTTGGCTTCGTGTCGTAGGATTCAGGGCGCGGCTCTCAGTACCTTGCTGAACCCTATTTTTTGTAAGGCTCCAAACTGGGGTGTTAGGGTTTTAGGGCTTTAGGGTTTTAGGGTTTTCGGGTTTATAGGGCTTACGGCCGCACATCTATACCTTAATCACCGAATTTGTGGTTCCATGTTTCTTCGTGGTTGGGCGGGCCAGCCTAGAAGTTGTTTTGGATTCTGTAGCCGTTTTGACTGGGTAGGTCAGTGCACCGTAAGCCCTAAACAGTGGTTGAAAGCTTCGGCTTCTTTGGGAAAGGGACTGCGCCCCTAGTGATTAGAGTGTTTAGGGTTCAGGGTGTAAGTGTATGAGGGTTTTACGGATATGACTAGGTGCTTTGCCTTGCAGAAATGGCCCGGCTTTTTTGCCCCGATTCGGAGCGATGGAAGTGTTGGGACGGAGCCTTCGATGCCCGCAGTAACTGCAGAGATAATGAATTTTCAGGGACTCGCAGTAGTCCTTTCCCTGTCCCTTCCCGCGGCCTTGTGCTTGACTCTTTCTTTCCACGCCGCCGGTTCGAGGGTAGGGGTGGGTCGGGTGGGCTGGTTTACCCGACGACATTGCCGCCTTCATTGACTGAGGTTACACCTAAAAAATGAATCCTGTACCGGGAACCCTAACCCCAAACACGGACATGCGGTTGATGATATAAATCCTGCATTACCTCAAGGACTCTACACTGTGGGAGTTTTGGTATATGGGAGTTTCTGAAAATAGGGGAGCCTACTAGAGTGCCCTAAATAGTAGGATCCTTATTATAAGGACCCCTAAAATGAGGTACCCCTAATTTGCGGAAACCCCATATTCCTCATTCTGGGTCATGCAGGATTTATATAACCAACCGTGGATCGCTTTGCGGAGAACTTGGCGTATGCTGTAGATGAGTGGGCCTAGTTACTCCTCGGCCTTGGTTCTATCCCGACCGTAGGGTTTTGGGTTTTGGGTGTTGAGATGTAGGGTTTTAGGGTTTAGGGTGTTGGGGTCTTAGGGTTTAGGGTTTGGGGTTCGGGGTTTAGGGTTCAGGCGAAGACGCCGCAAAAACTAATCGACATTCCCACAGCCCGAGTGACGGGAAAGCCGTGGCCCAAGGCGCTGAAACGCCAAGTGGTACTTGTAAGTTCCAAGACGCTCGCCCCTTGAGCTTCGGAAGGCAAAGGCTAAACGAGCCTCGTAACCCCCAAGCCCTAAACCTTCAAGGAGTAGGATCCCTATGAAGTATATCGACGACCATGGATTCCACAGTCTTTCTTTGATTGTTAAAGCCCCTTGCTTGCCTCACCTCATTGACAGTGGAATGGAATAACCCTTGGACCAATGTACTGAACCGATTGAATCCCGTCGAAATATGCAAAACTCAATTTACCGTGTTCCTCATGCTTTAAATACCCTAGAACTCTAAACCCTAAACCCTAAACCCCTAAACCCTAAACCCTAAACCCTAGACCCCGAAACCTTTGAGCCACAAACCCGGAAATCGCTCTTCTGGCTTCAGGCAGGGGGCTGAACGCTTAGGAACCTATTCCCTTGTAGCCCTTATGTAACTACCCAGAGACTCCAAAACCCCTTAATTAAGGAATATACCTTAAATCATATTAGGATCCCTACTATAATTTAAGGTATATTCCTTAATTAAGGGGTTTTGGAGTCTCTGGGTATGCTGATACGACCCAGAACCCTATTCTAGTTGTTGGGCTCCTTTGTTGAACACTGTAAACAGCCATACACCAGTATAAAGCACCACAACAAGCGCCTCATAGCACCTTGCACAGCCCTTGCAAACACCCTTATAAACCCTGACACATGCGATTAGAGTTCCAAGACTTCACCCTACTTAAAGGGTCGTGGGACTTAGTAACTAGGGTTATAATTAGGGTAACTATACTTATAATTACTTCTAACCCCAATTTAGGGTACTTAGAACCCTACCTACTAAGTCCTATGATCCTCCAAGCAGGCAACAACCAGCCAACAAGCGCCTGGCATGATGCGGCTCGGTAGACAGGGGCTTTGGAGGTTCGGATTTAGCCTGGTACTAGGCCTTATGATCAAGGGTTTAGGGTTTAGGGTACCCTAAATCCTGAACCCCTAAACCCCTTATAAACCCTAAACCCCTAAACCCTAAACCCTAAAGATCAAAGCCTCAGCTCCACAAGTTCATCGCTGATCCACCTTGCAAAGCCGAACAAACCTAAACCCTGAGACCTATAACTAGGATGCCCAGTAGTACCCTTATTCCCTTTTTGTAGTCCTAGGTTCCTTATAAATTTACCCAATACCAGAAAGGGAGCCCTTTTATTCCTAGCTTACTGGGCATCCTAGATAGGGCCTAACAAGACCCATCAAGCTGCAGGGTGTAGGATTTCGAGTTCAGTCAAGATCTGAGCTTGGGATTGAAAGCCTTCAGTCCAATCTGCGATCGACGGTTTAGAAGTCAAGCTCTATGGTTTAGGGTTTGGGTTGTAGGCTTCAAGCTTCAGAGTTTTTTTTGTATTTTTGAAGGCTTAAGGTTTAGGCATGGGGTTTGGATCGGAGGCTTGAAAGGCTTTAGGAAATTTAGGATGTTATCCCTCCCATTTCAACGGTTCACTGGAAATGTCGCCAATCGCAGGAACTTTCTGGCATCAGCCGAGGTAGGCCATGCCGCCGTCGGTGAACATATGGCCGATGCGTGCCAGGGCACAAACGGAACCGCCAACGGGAACACTGTTTCTACAAGTCTGGCTGTGTGCATGAGTGAGCATGAATGTGCAACATTACCGCTCAAGTCCGGAGTGGGCAGAAAATTTCGAAATCCCACCCGCCCACACCATTCAGAAGCTTCCTACGTTTCAGGACGCTTACTCTTTCAGCGCACAAGGTGTGCAAGATGAAGTGCTCATTCAGGTAACCCTGAATTTCACATGCATGAACTTGAAAAGCCTATTCTAAACCCATGAAGTCTACTGTACTACAAACCGCAGCCCATAGAGACTGCTGGACCTTTGCAGGAACGGTCGTTGTTGAGTTGTTGAAGCCTCTACAACAACAGGAAGGTTTCCCTAGGACCTTCTAGACCCTAAGCCCTAAATAAACCCCTAAACCCCTCAACCCCTCAACCCCCAAACCCCAAACCCTCGAGCCTCATACCCTAGACTCTAAACCCTAAACCCTCAAGCCCTAGACCCTAAACCCTAAACCCTAAACCTTTTTTTCGGAGATCTCAGACTGTAAACGGCCGATACCCAGTTTTAGCCTGAAGCTATCAGCCCTAAGCGCTAAGTCCCGAGCCCGAACCCTAAGGCTCCATGTACTCATATAGTAGGTACTTACTTAGTTATATGGGTACTTTAGGGTTTAGGTTTTAGTAGGTACTTAGGCCTTGAAGGGGTCCCTATATAGGTACTTTAAGGCCTAAGTACCTACTATATGGGTACATGGAGCATTATGGGAACCCTAAACCTAGACATTCAATCCTCAGCCCTTGACCGACAAGTAACAGCTTCAAATCTTCTATCCCGAAACCCAAACCCTAGAACTTAGAACTCTGAACCCTTAAGACAAACGCTGTTCCTTCCCATAACGCTTCTAGAAGATACCACCCTTAAGGCGCCCCTCTTTTACCTTGAAACCTTAAGCCCGCAACCCTAAACTTTACACCCTACACCCTGCACGCTACAGCCTAAACCCTAAATTTAACCCAAGCCCTGAACCTTAAAACGCCACGGAAGATGAGGTGCTGGACCTTTGCAAGAAAGGTTTCGCGAACAAGTTGGAAAGTCTCACGGAGGCGAGCTCGTGTTGCCTTTGTAGGGGTGAGGGTTTAAGGCTTCAAAGATGTATGTCGGGGCTTAGAGTTTTAGGGGTGTAGGTGTGTTACGGGTCAAGCCTCATGGGCTTAAAAGTCTACGGGAAGTATTAATGCATGGGTTGGAGCGAAACCGGAATGCTACTGTTGCGGGTCCGACCGGCCGGTGCAACGAAGGCAAATGCGCGAAGAGAGTCCGCATTTTCCCGTGCTGCAACGTGGTATGAAAACATTTGGTGCTGGCCTCGAAGGATGAGGACCCGCGGTACTGCCGCTTCGCTCGTGAGCTTGGCGAGCCAGTCCACGGCATCGACTTCGGCGCCTTGGGCATCGTTTGTCCTTGGTGGTGACAGAGTGCTAACTGCGTTGTTGAATGCGCGTTAAGCAAGCTTTTCAAGGTTCATTGCTCTCTGTTTTGTCGTGCTGCAAACTGCTCGACGCTAGGCACCTCTCCAAGCAAGCCCTTCAGGATTGCCAAGCTCGTCGAAGACCCAGGCGCACTGGACCCTGTTGCCGCTCCGGCGCTTGCTTCTGGGTACTAGTTTGTTCGGCTTGACTCATGCTGTCTCCATCTTTGCCGAAGGTGCATCATTGTCGGCACAGCTTCGCGCCTTTGGTGCTCGCGAGTGCGGCAAGATTTACTACTCCATTGAGGGCTTGCTCACGTCTCAATCTGCCCGACTCATCCTGGAGTCGCTGAGCCGTGGACTCGGAAAGAGCTCTCGTCGCAGCCTCGCCTATATATTGATCACAAATCCCAGAACCTACGCCGCAAGACGGACGTCTATGCACGCCTACAGCTCCTTCTCACGCCCAGCTGGACTGGTCCGTGGGATGATCGCATCGTGGTGGATCGCCGGGAGGAAGGCGCTTCCACCAATGAGGAGCGGTGTGTGGCGGCTTGCACGTCTTCGGTTTCTAGAACTCGGCGCCAGTGCGCGCAAGAAGGGTGTGCTAGAGGGCAAAGCCGATTTCACCCTTCAGGCGGGAGCAGATTGGCTTGACGGCCAGGCCTTATTGGGCATTGAGGCAGTACCTCTACTGACTACGTGTCTGGACCGTTTCGCGTAGCATGGGGATGGAATGTTGTGTCTGGCCTTGTTAATTTCGCCGTCGCGGCCGCATACCTGAGGCTCGAGCCCCCGTCATCTGGAACAACGGAAACATCTATAACCAGCGCCACATCTTGTACGATGCCTATCAATTCCGTGGAGCCGTGCCCGTGGGCGACGAGCTGCTGGAGGCCTGTGCCTGACCTGGGTTCCTGCCATATCTACAGGCGACACGAGGTTGCTCATGCGGGTTTCTGCTTCCTGTCGAGTGTGCTCGCCGTTCACTTCTTGTAGGAATCCCCATTCCGCAGAAACTGTCGGGGACCCTTTTGTATCCTTGGGAGAGCCACCAGCGGGCAATAGCAACCAAGAGTGGCGAGACGCCCGCTGGGGTGACTGATGTTCGCAAGCTTGACAAGCTCGACGAAGGTGTCGCGAGCATTAGTGATTGCTGCGTGAGAGATGGCGGAGGTTTCTTCCCCATGGAACTTCCTGCAGAATTGCTCCAATGCCAAAGGGGGGAATATTCGGATCTGAAAGTTTTTTGAAAGGATCCTGTAGGGTCCTTACAGGGATCCATAAGGGTTCTGTAAACGGCTTAGGGTTTGGAGTTTCCGATAACTGGGTGTACCTTATCGATAACTGGGTGTGCCTTATTTAGGGGTCATTAAAAAAAAAGGATTCTACTCTATGTAGGGTACTATATTTGAGTTCCCTATTTTCGGAAACTCCCAAATGCTAATATTTTTGGGACTGGGTCCCCGAAACCTAAAGGTTTTGGGTTTTGGGGTTTGGGGCTTGAGGTTTAGTGTTTGGGGTTTTGGATTTAGGGTTTAGGGCTTCAGGTTTAGTGTTTGCTGTTTAGGTTTAGGGTTGCGGGTAGGGCCCCGGAATTTGTAAGTCCTTTGGGCCTTACCTCCATCATGGTAGCATGATATTTGAACCCTCCGGGCTGGGGTTGTGAGGGTTTTCCAACATAGGCGTTTCCGAAAATAAGTGGCCCGAACATAGTACTCTGTTTAGTAGGATACTTTTTATACGGACCCCAAAATGAGGCACCCTTAACTTAATTTTCCGGAAGCTCCCATGTAGGGTGGAAGGCGTGGGAGGCAGGGCTCGGGTGTGGGGGGTTTTGGAGATTGGATGTTCCGGGGTTTAGGGTGCTTCAGGGTATAGCCCAGAGGGTCCAAGTACCCAAAGGGTTTCAGGTCCCCAAACCCATGCTCTGAATGGTTTTTGGACCTTGAAATCCTACCATTTGGGTACTTGGACCCTTAGGGTAGGGTTAAAGGATTGAGGTTTGCAGCTTGAGGGTCTTAGCGTGTGAAACACGTGTGTTTTCATGGAAGCTTCCAGGCTTTTCGGGCTTGCAGAGTGGGCCATAATGCAGAATACTTATCTTCAAAGGTTTCCAGGCTGAAACAGAGTGTGATATACACCAAAACCACAAGTTTTAGCTCTAAAGGCCCTTGCAATGAGGTGTTAGAGTCTAGGGTTCGAGATTCGAGGATTCGGGTTGTGTTGTTCAGCGGGTTTAGAGCGGTTTGCAGGAGTTGTTTTGACAGCGACCTTTCTTCTGAAACTCTGCAACCCCTTCCTGATGAAAACTGGCATGCCCAAGCCCGGAAGGACTTTCTTCGTAGTATCTTTGGGCCTTCACCTAGACTGATTCAGTGCTTGAACCACATCGACGATGCTGTATCTGCCAGAGCCCGAAGGATTTACGATTTACGGACCTTGCCCCCTAAGAAAACCTCACCCCTTACGGCCAGTTTCTGTAGTAGGAGATCCTGCGAGACGTGCGAGCAGCCGTACAGCAGGCGCGAAAGTTTCGGGTTTAGGGTTTTTGGGGATTTAGGGTTTTAGGGTTTAGGGCTCAGGCCAAAATCAAACTCTGAATGCAGATAGATCCCCTATGATCCCCTTATACAAGCTCAATAACCCGTATAAATCCCCTTATAGAGCCCCAGTGATTTACAGACCGTTTTTCGAACTACCCAGAGAAAAGAGCACTTTCTGCAGCCCTTATAGAATGCTCAACGAGCCCTAAACCCTGTTCAAACCCTAAGCCCCTAAGCCGCCATAAAACCTAAACTCAATAGAGCCTTGCCCTCATAGAACCCCTGACCAGCCCATTAGATAGAACCCCCTACAGAACCCTCGAAGAATTCAGTAGATAGAATTCCTCCGAGAAGAGCCCTCATAGAACCCTCGGAGAACTCATCAGGGTATAGGATGTTATTTTGGGGGCGTTCCTTATTTTTGTGTGTTGTATTTATAGTAGAATGGTCCCCAAAACTCTCAAGGCCCTTGTAGCAGGGTTTTGGAGCTCTAAGTGGATACACTTTACACTTGGGATAATACTACCCACTATAAGACTGAAAGTGTACACTTTCTGGGGCTTATGAATTCAGCCACTAAGAAACCCTAAACCCTAAACCTTAAACCCTAAACCCTAAGCCCTAAACCCTGAACATTAAACCCTAAACCCTAAGCCCTAAACCCTGAACATTAAACCCTAAACCCTAAGCCCTAAACCCTATGCCCTAAACCCTGAACATTAAACCCTAAACCCTAAACCCTAGCTCCTCATGGAAACGCGAGCGCCGACTCCGGGAGGCGGCGGTGTCGTTGCGCTCGGAGGTCTCCGATCTCCTGGACAAGCGCGAGGGGCACCTCGGAAGAGCCTTTAAGGGTTTAGGGTTGAGTTAGGGTTTAGGGTTTAGAGTTTGGGGTTTAGGGTTTAGAGTTTAGGGTTTAGTTGAGGTTTAGGGTTTAGTGTTCGGTTTGGGGTTGATGGTGTAGGGGTTGAGGGTTTAGAAAGAGGGCCAAAACCGTTTAGTCCTTACGGGGTTTAAGTAAGGTCGTTGAGGCGCTGCTTTTTCGATGTAGGATTTAGCGCACAGGGCTTTAATCTGAGGGTTTCGACGTGGGATTTAGAGTACAGGGCTTCAAAGGAGTTGGCGCTTTATGTTGTAGGTCCAACTGAAACCCTAAAGCCTGAGCCTTCAAACTGACGACCCTAAACCTCACACTGTTTTTTGCTCACCCTCGGTTACCCCAACCAACTGGAACCTATTCTGTTGCGGGTTTCGCCACGCTGCGTGTGGGACTTAGCTTCGGACAGTATACAACAAAGCGGGTGCTAGCAAGCTAAGATATGGGTGGTTGTCAAAATTAGAGTCCCTTTTTGGGTACCCTAAATCGTAGGTGCCGTAGTTTTTTAAGGACCGGACCATAAAAGGAATCCTAGCCTTGACAGCCACCCATATGTTTAGTTGTCCTTAGCTCTGTTCATGCAGGGATGTCCGAATCGGACTGCGACGATCTCCAGTAGCGATCGGCCTTCCTCATTCTTGTCGTTCTATACTTGGAGGTTCATGGGTGGTTATAAGTGGGGTAACTATACTTATATCTAACCCACATTAGGGGACCTACTGTTGATGATATAAATCCTGCACTATGTTAAGGACCCTAAGCTATGGGAATTATGGTACATTCCTTATTCTGGTTATTGCAGGATTTATATCTTCGACCGTATTTTGGAGTCCCCCATTATAGTCATAGTATAGGATACACCAAGACCCTATTCTAATTCGTAAGGCCGTTAAATTACCTCCCAGCAGAAAGTTTCTTAGGGTTTGGGGTGCCCAGACTCTACGGACCAAGAGCACTACCCAGGAACCTCCAAGTGGCTGAGCAAAGTTAGGGCGGGTATGGCTGCTCGTTTGGGAGCCAGGGACCTTCCCTTAGTGTTTTGGGG